GATTGTTGACAGTTAAATGGATAAGGTCAGTTTTATTATGCATAATCGTACGTACGAACCTATGGTTCGTACAGACGAACACTTAGCGTTTTGATGTAGGGGACATTTTAAACTGCCATTAAAATGATCTTTAATGTCTGATCGTCCAGGATGAACACCTGTTCGTCTGTACGATCGTTTGGTCAAAAGTCTGTACGAAAGGATGCCTCGTTACTTGTGTGATTACGAAAAGCCGTTTCATTTTTGGACTCATTCGTTTGTCCATACGAAATTTTATTCATACGGGACAAACTCAAATTCGAACGGGACGAAATTAATTTCATCTGTACAAAAACTCATTTTTTCTTTAAATTGAAGGCTTTTGAACTCACATGTCATCACTTCAAACATCCCTTTCAAACCCCTTTTCATCTAGATCTTATCCATGACTAGCTCTAGCAAAAGACAAAAGGTATTGGCTAAGGGACCACCCAAAAACTCTAGAGAGAACTTTATGTAAAAGGCTAATGAAGAGTCATTCCCTAGATTTGCTTATGCAAAAATCACTCTATCTAGAGTCCTTCTACAAGAGCAAATCAATTTTAAGGTAATGAATCTGTTTGCTTCTACCCAATTTGGCCTCATTTTCACACTTGTCTACTTCTTCAATAAGGATTCTTGCAAACATGTCCTTTAATTCTGATCATTTAGTGATTAGGTCCTATGTGTTCAAAAAGAAAATATAGATCACTAAGACAGACTTAGAAATTTTTCTGAACTTATGGACTGAAGGGATTATAGCCCATACCTTAACTAATGCTTCTAATTTGACTGGTCTGAAATAAATAATGTCCTTAGAGGAATTAGAGTAGTAACTCATGTGCCTAGGGTAGCCTCTCTAAATCAAAATGCCCGAATCATTCAGCATGTTCTTCAAACTTCCATAATTCCTAAAGCTGGTGATATAGTCAACATTACTCATCTTCTTTCTACTGTGACCTATTTGATTATGACCAAGAAACTTATATTGATAATTGATCATATTTATGCATGGACTTTCTGAGATTGGTCATGTCGTCCATAAGAGAAAGAAAAACATTGTCTTAGGACATATTGTTGCATACATTTTGGAGAAGAAGTATGATCTAGTTCATCCAAATCATGATTTAGAGGAGCCTCTCTACTACAATGATGGATCTTTTAGAGCAATTTTCAATAAAGATGAACCACGTGCACAACATGTTAGTAGCGACTCAGATGAGGAACCTGCACATACTTATGAACCAAACTATTAAGATTTGGTTCACATATTTGATCGTCTAGAGACTCATTTGGATCAAAGATTTGATCAAATTGAAACTCGCTTACAACAACATGATGCTCAGTACAATCAGGATATGAGATATATGCGAGAGCAGATACATGATATAAGTTCCAATATGCTTATGATTAGCAGTTCTTTTAATTTCTTCAGTGTTCCACCTCCTCCTCCAGATCAGGGCCCCTCACAGTGATTCATGTACTTCCTTATGATATTCTTTAGTTGATGTGATAGATTGTGATGTATTTTGTTCTAGTTATATGTTAGTTTCAGTTGATGTATCAGCATTTTAGTTTTATGTAGTATTGATATCATATCTCTAATTGTAATATTCTTTATCATGATATCAATATAAGTTATATTGTCTTGCTTTTTATCTTGTTTTGAAATGTGTGTTAGCCTATATGAAAATCTCTTAAATTTTTGATCTTACAAGTGCTATACCTTGAAGTGCAATACAAAATTAAATTCATTAGAAAATCTAATTTTTCTAAATTCAAGTTGTACTTATAATTGATGTAATTAAGAATATCAATCTCATGTCTCTGGTATCAGACTAATTTAAATTTTCATATTATTATTGCAAATTGTGATGTTTTCTTATTTTGTATTTTTATATTCAATATAAATAATATTGTACTTAGAGAAATTTGAAATTTTAGATTATTGATTTTGAAAAGATTGAGAATACACTTGAAAATGTACAAATGTATAAAAATAAAAAAAAATGCACAATGGTTCGCAATTTAAAAAAGAGGCACAAAATAAGCCCACAAGTAAAAAGATGCACAAAAAGTGCCACAAATATTGAAAAGATGCACAAAGCGCCACAAGTGATATTTTGTTCAGATTCTTTCCTTAATCTTTCAATCTTTTAATTCAAATTAATCTTATGCACGATTTTATTTTGTATTGAAATTTGAAATATATAAATTTTATATTCATCCTTTATGCAATGATAATCTTTATCTCAATGTCTAAATTGACTCATGTTTTTGATAAATCTTCTTTACTATCGATGTTATATCTCTTCTTAAATCCTATGAATCATTCTAATTTGCCTAATGATTTGATTTTATTTGCAAATTTATTTCAATCACTTTCAAGGATCAATCATAAAAGGATTAGTATATGACTTCCCACATTTTTGTTCTTTTTCTTCTTCTCTTTTGTTGTTGTCAAAAAAGGAGAAAAATATTTTTTATTCTCGTATTTTGTTTGTTCTCTCGTATTTTGTTTGTTCTCATATTTTATTCATATTTTTGTTTTGTATCGTATGTGTTTGAATTTTTTTTAAAATTAATTAAATAAATAAAAAGAGAGATAACACTGTCGTGCAATGCCTCCTTATTCTCAAATGTTTATCAATTCAGGGGGAGTATAGGAGATTCTTAGAATTTGAAAATTATACAAACAATAATTATTTTGCCATCATAAAAAAGGGGGAGATTGTTAAGAGAGTTGCTATTTGCATGTTTTATGACTTCAAATCAAATTCAGCATGAGATAGTTTGTAAATTGAAGTTTGTATTTTTCATTGTATTGAGTTTGAGAGAGTATGATTGTAATTGAATAGCTGACCACACACACTTGGGGAGATCTTTAAAAAATCATACTGATCGTACGGGACGAACCAAGTTCGTACGGGACGATCAAGTTAGTTATCCCCTCGGAAGAGTAATGGAACAAACATGAAGTGAGAAAATTTTTCTAAGTCCTGATCGTCCAAACAAATTTCCCTATTCGTCCCTCGACGATGCTCTTTGGATTCTCAAAATGAATTGTTCATCTGAACGAAATGGACGGTTCGTCCTAGGACGATCTTATCTGGATTTTGAGATTGAACTGTTCGTCCCGACGAAACTGTTAGTTCGTCCCATGACGATCTTCTCTGGACTCTGAGATTTAACTATTTGTCCAGACGAAATTGCTAGTTCGTCCCTGGACGATCTCCTCTGGATTCTCAGTCTGTACTGTTTGTCTAGACGAAATGGACAATTCGTTCCAGGACGATGTCCTCGGGTTTCAAAGTTTGTACTGTTCGTCCATACGAACATGAACATTCGTCCAAGGACGATGTTCTCTGTTCTTTTGACATATGGGCCGTTTGCAGTTATATTTTATTATGGCTTTAAAATAACTATTTGTACCGGACGTACATAGTTCGTACGGGACGATGATCGTGTACGAAGTCAACTCGTCCCAATGCACATTGGGTTCGTATGCAACTATTTTAACACTATTCGTACAGGACGATATGACGATCGTCCGTGACGATCGACTGTGTACAGACTTGAATGTCAGTAGTTTTTGGATAATTTTTTGTGTTTTTACTATATAAGGTCCACTTAAAACTGTATTGTAATCTTTTTGCATACTGATCTTCATGTTAACTGAAGGGAGAGTGAAGAAGAGAGTGTGAGAGAGTGTTTGATGGAGGATTCTTACTACTGGAGCGTGAAGGATTCACTTGGTACTCAAAGGTAAGAATCTCCACTTGTGATTTGTGATTACTTCACTCTTTTTTATCGTCCTTCTAGATTTCTTGTGAGAAGATATGTCAAGGAGATCTGATTCTCTATCGACACTTGGAGAGTGTGAACACACGAAGGGTTATCTGCCTACACTTAGAGAGTGTGAACAGTCGAAGGGTTCTCTGCCTACACTGGGAGAGTATGAAAGGACGATGGGTTCTCTGCCAACACTTGGAGAGTGTGAAAGGATGAACGGTTCTCTGCCAACACTTGGAGAATGTAAAAGGATGACGGTTCTCTGCCGCACCGGGTAGTGGTGGAAGAGAGTTTTGTAAAGGCTTCTCCGCCTTGCTGTGGGTGCAAAAGGAAATTCACTAGTGGTATTAGTGCAATACTCGGAGGGTTCCTTGGGGAGTGGATGTAGATCGTGTTTGACCGAATCACTATAAATCTTATGTCTTTTTATTTTCTGCTGCTTTTAATTTTAACTTTTAATTTGTGGTTGAAAACCTTTTCTACAAAATTCACTAAAGTTATTCTCGGTTTAAAATTAAAAAAAGATGGAAAAGATTTTTTAATTACCAATTCACCCCTATCTTGATTAGCCGTTGGGACATAATCTCAGGTCTAACAACTTAATTCATATTGAACAAGTTTCAACAGCTGACGTTTTATTTTTGAAATATTCTCAGAATTTTGATTTTATGTTTGCCTTTTTATATGAAGTAACATCAAACTTTGCAATAAACTTGATAATAAAATTAGTATATATATAGAGGCAATGTTAGTGGGCGGTGCACAATAATGACTGCAGTGGTTGACAACATCAGCTAGTGGTCGGTAGTGTCCGTTGGCGATGGTTGGCTGCGACAAATAATGACGTTGATCGGTAGTGGCGAAGGGTGGTTGGCGGGAGGTAGCAATACTGGCCAGAGGTGGTAGCAGTTGGCGGTGTCCAACAATGATTGTAGAGCATGACAGTGGTGGGTGAAAATGATCGTTGATGATACAAATAGTCTATAGCGTGTTAAAAATCATCAAAATCTAATGAATTTTAAAACAACAAAATTATATCAGATGATGCATTTCAAATATACCACAATTTTACATTTTTACCATAAATTTTTTACTTTAAACTAAAAACTAATATTTTAAAAATTACTACACTTAAAATATTTTAATCCAAATAGCCCGGCACACTTTTATCTCCTCAAGTTATATCAAGCTCTCTCGCTCCCTTCCTAAGAAAAAAAAAAGCGAAGATACAAATTTTGATTGACTACCCGTTTTCCGATCCGCTTTCCTACGCCGGAATAGAAATCTGACAATCTTTTAGATCAATTATTCGTCTATCGCTCCCCTAGTCCCCTGCCCGTCCTTCCTCGTCTTTTATCATGGCGGACGATGAGGATTTCCCCTCATCAAGCGATGTGGAGGAGCCGGAGGTCGGTGATTGCTATCTGAGCGATCATGAGGATGACATCGCGGAGAACGTGCTCCAGGACCTCGAGGATGGTCGGCAGGAAGATTGTAACTGGTCCGTCACATCGGTACGAGATTACGCCATCCCCTTTCTTTTCTTCATTCTTTAGCGTTAGGGCTAGGGGTTCTTCATGATTTGTGGTGAGCCAGACCTTTGGAATCCTTCTTCCGGAGGATGCCAGTATCTTTATTAATTTCCTGGAAAATGCTATTTTTCCCCCAGGCAAATTATCAGGTCCACCCTTTCTGGCCATATCCTGTAAGCTTAGAAAATTCTTCCTTTTTTTAAAAAAATTTAGTAAGCAAGCGGCAGTGCTGCTTTCCCTTCATTCAAGAACGGAACAGTGGGGCTTGCCAAAACAATGCTTGTTTTTACTGCGAATTCGTCGTGCTTTTTTGCTATGTTTACCTGATTTCGATCTGTAATCATGGACGAGTATTTTATAGGCAACCTGACTAGAAAAATGATGCATACTCCTCTTGTCATTTGTTTGTTGATGATAGATGAAATTCATGCTTTCCTTAAACTGACAGGGCATCTGTTTTCTACTGATTTCTTGCAGGTTATTACAAAGGAGTCCCTTTTGGCTGCACAGGTTTCTCTATATTTTTCAAATTAGAGCCTCACACACCTTTTATGATGTTTAATGTGGAATTGGACAGAGAAAATTCTGTACTTATTCTCTGATCTGCTACTTTAATTCTGATTGATCGTCTTGTGTACTCACAGAAGGAGGACCTGAGAAAGATAATGGAGCTATTAGCTCTAAGTGAACAGCATGCCCGGACTTTGCTTATTCATTATCGCTGGGATGTGGAGAGGATTTTTGAATTGCTTGAGGAGAAGGGGAAGGATAGGTTATTTTCAGAGGCAGGATTGACTATGAATGAGAATAAAGTCATCGCCTTGTCAAGTTACTCGGACCCATTTACATGTAGTATCTGCTTTGAGGATGTTTCCCCAGTAGCAATTACAGAGATGGATTGCGGACACTGTTATTGCAATAACTGTAATATTTTTTTCCTTTCAAGAATTTATTTTGGTACATCTTGTTGTCAATTAGTTTGTCATTTTCACTGCTTTAGTTTTTCTTTTTCTATGATGTTTATTTGAGTATACCTGGAGGAGCATAAATAGGAAGTTTTTGATCACTGCATGGTTTTTAACTTTTTATTAAGTTAGCTGGTCATCTATTTCAACTTGAAAACTTTAGTTCACACAGGTCAAAGAGAACAGTTGTTCATTTGGTTAGGCTGAAATATTTATGACTTTCTAGGTGATTTTTCTATTTGAAAATAAAAGTAATACCAATCTATTGCCATCACTGTCTCCTACCTACGTGTTGTTATATAGTGTTTGGGAAAGAAAGTTGTAATCTTGGATTTTCTTATTTTATTATTTTTCATTTTCTTGACTATTGTCTCTTATGTCTTGATTTGATGACCTCGCCTTCCCAACCAAGGTCCTATAGTGCACACAATTGCTTCATATTTGCTAATAGGTTCAAGGTTCAAAACTTTGTGTTGTAATGAGGATGATCCGTAGATTGTATTTTTTCTTTTAAAGGAAGAATTAATTGTCTTATTTTTTCCTTGCTGCCCTTAAATTTGGATGTTTCCAAGAGCTCTTTGGTTTATGTGAATGCTAGTTTGATAATTAATTCATTTTATAAGTTTCATATCACATTCAAGAAATTAGTTGCTTTACCACTCTTGGGCAGATGAAATTAGAGAGAGCAGCCTTAGATTGCTTGGTCACATAAAATGTTGGCATTCCGATTATTCTGTTAGGAGAGTTGATGTATTAGATTTGACCTATGTTAAAAATAAGTAGAGGTAGTTCTAAAAAGATTTTGTTAGAAAGTATTAAAAATAACCAATTTTAATTAGATTTAAATGAGAATTTGACTGTTAATAGGACACAATGGAGAAAAAGATTCATATAGCCGACCTTACGTAGTGGGATAAAAGCATGTTATTATTGTTATTAAAGGAACACAAATCTTTAATAATAGTTTTCCTTATTTTAATATGTATTTTGATGGAAGCACCATTATTACACGTGGGAAATAATTTGAAGTCAGTAGAGCTTCTTAGGATATGCTGTTCACAACATCAGTCATTTCCTTCACACATACAATCAAAGTTTAGGCTTCCCTGATGAGTGCTTTCTTAGGGAAATGCTCTAACTCTCAATTCATCAAGCATGCTCAAAGGAAAGAATGGCTTAGCAGAGTTTTCTCTAGAGAACAAAGAATTTTTGGAGGGCCCATTTATTTTGTACCTTGGGGTGTTTATGATAGTTGTGTGGAGGGTAGTATGAGTATTTTTGGATAGATAAAACACTTCATCTCTACGATGTGTTGCATAAAATGCCCTTGATTAAGGGGTATTTTTGTCATATGGAGGGTTGAGTATCAATACATGTTGTCTTCCTAATTGTAGATGCGCCATCATGCCTTGACTATTTATGTCGGATGGATGGACTCTTTAGGATTTGAGATTTATGTTGTTAGATGTCTGTATTGTGTTGTTGGATGACTTTGATGTCCATTTTGGAGATGATATGAGTTGGGCTTTTAGATTCTAGTTGAGGAATCAAGTTTAATGTTGAGTCCCTTCGACTTGTTATGCCTGATTTGAAAAAGGCAACCGCAAATCTTAATGTGATATGATATAATAACAACAACATCAAGCCTTTATCCCACTATGTGGGGTCGGCTACATGAATACTTTTTCTCCATTGTGTCATGTTAAGAGTTAAATTCTCATTTAAATCTTATTAAGGTCATTTCTAACATTTTCTAACAAAGTCTTTTTAGGTCTATCTCTACCTTTCTTAAAATAAGTCAAATATAATATATCTACTTTCCTAACCAGGTCATCGGAAGGCCACCGTTTTATGTGACTAAGCCATCTATGATGACTCTCTCTAATCTTATCTTTCACTGGAGCTACTCAAACCTTTTCATGTATATGCTCATTATGTATCCTACCTTTAAAAGTAAAGCCACTCATCCACCTGAGCATCCTCATCTTTGCACCACTTAACTTAATATTATGTTTCTCTTTTAATGACCAACATTCTGCACTATAAAGCATTGTAGGTCTAACCACCATCTTACAGAATTTTTCCTTCAAATTTGTGGGGGACTTTTCTTTCACACAACTAGCCCGATGCATTCCTCCACTTCAACCATCTAACTTGGATTCTACTAATAATATCCCCATCTATTTCACCATCACTCTGAATAGTAGAGATATCGAAAATGTGTACTCTTATTAATGACTTGATCATCCAAAGTTACAATCCCCTCACTAGATCTATTATTACTAAAATTATACTTCATATATTCAATTTTAGATCTACTTAAACAATAGCCTTTAGACTCTAAGGTTGACCTCCATAATTTAAGTTTACCTTCAACTCCCTTTCTAGTCTTATCAACAAGAAGAATATCATCGGCAAAAAGCATACTCCAGGGTAAAACCTCTTGCAAATGTCTAGTGAGAACATCCATGACTAAAACAAAAAGATATGAGCTTAAGGTTGATCCTTAATGTAATAAAACTGAAATAGAAAAATACTTGGTCAAACCTCCTTGTGTTTGAACAAAAGTAATAGCTTATACATATATATCCTTAATGACTTGAATATATGCATTAATAACTCCTTTTTTATAGAACTTTCCATAGCACTTCTCTTGGAACTTTATGATATGCTTTCTCTAAATCAATAAATATCATATGTAGATAATTCTTGTTCTCTCTATACTTCTCCATCAAACTTCCCAATAAATGTATAACTTCCATGGTAGACCTACTTAGCATGAATCCAAATTAATTTTGAGAAACATTAGTATCACACTTCAACTTATGCTCAATAACTCTCTCCCATAGTTTTAAAGTATGACACATTAACTTAATTCTTCTATAATTTGCACAATCTGTGCGTCACCTTTATTCTTAAAAATAGGAATCAATACACTCATTCTCGACACATCTGACATATTTTTAGTCTTCAAAATAATATTAAGAAGTTTAGCAAGCTAAGAATTTCTTTCATCTCCTAAGCATTTCCACACTTCTATTGGAATATCACCAGGTCCAACTGCTTTACCACACTTCATGTTCTTTAAAACCTCTCTAACTTCGGTTTTACTAATACATCGATAACAATAAAAAATCTTTATTTTAATTAAAAATGCTATGGTCACTAAAGTCAATCACATTCTCATAATCTTCATTTAAAAGTTTAGAAAAATATTTCATCCACTCTTATTGAATATCCTCTTCTAATAAAAATACTTTTTGATCTTCATCCTTAATATACTTCACTTGAACTAAATCCTTATTACTTTTATATCTTTGTTTGGCTAACTTATACATGTATCTTTCGCCCTCCTTAGTATATAATATTTTTTATAAATAATTTAAAGTTAAAATCTTTCCATCACTTATTGCTTTCTTAGACTCCTTACGGGCCTCTTTATATCTTTTTCAATTATCAAAATTTTTATATTTAAATTAATTTTATAATAAATCTTCTTATTTTTTAATCGTTTTTTTGCATATTTTGATTTTAGCATTAACTTTTGTTACTACTAGGGGCTTTTCCCTTTGATACTCCATGCACATCTTTTTACAACATTCTTAATATCACTAGCTACCTTTTCACACATAACATTAGCTTCCTCATGCAAAGATAAAATCTTAAGATGTAGTATCTTACTCTAAAATATTTTTATTAATATTCTCTAAAAGCCTACATCTAAACCTAGAACAACATTTTATTTTATTTTTATTTTCTTCTCCATGTTAAAGTGCAAAAATAATGAGTAATGTTGAGTACATATACTTTCACTCGGAATAACTTGTTAATATTTGAAATCTAAATGATATATTTTTCTTATAAGAAAATAATAAATCTGAATTTTATTATTTCCATTTTTACAAGTGATGAGATGCGCATTGCTTTTCTTAAATAAGGTATTATCAATTACAAAATCATAAGCTAAAGAAAATCTAATATGGTCTTACCACAGTAACCATTACCATAGTAACCACATTTATTAGTCACTCCAAACCTATAACCATCATAAATGCTTTTAAAATCTACCTTTCTACCAACATGTTCATTTAAATCTTCTCCAATAAATTTTCTTTTTTTCAAAAGGTATTTTTTGTATTAATTCTTCTAAGTTATTTCAAAATTTTAATTTTGAACTCATATCCAAACATACTTGAGGAGTATATGCACTTGTAATATTAATAATCGTAGCATTAATAACAATCTTTAAAGTTATAATTATGTCACAAATTCATTAATTTTTACAGCATTATTCTTTGAACTCTTTGGCCGACCCCACGTAGTGGGATAAAGGCTTGAGGTTGTTGTTGTTGTTGGTTGTTGTATTCTTTGAACTCTTTTGTATAATCACACCTATATCATCTCTAGTATGACTCTTACCAGAATACCATAGTTTAAATCATAAACTATCAATGTCCTTAGCATTCTCTCCAACCCATTTGGTTTCGTGAATGCATATAATATTTATTTTCCCATGAATCATAATATCTATTTAATTCCATTAATTTGTCTATAAGGGAACCTATATTTCAAGTTTCTATCTTAATTTTAGTTTCATGGACTAGCTTCTTTGCCCGTATTCGTCCATGATGTCAGAATCCTTGCCTATTTAACACTGCATCCGGGCGCTGGTGCAGTAGCCCTTGACACTTGTCGCTTATTTAGGTCTTATAGTGTGCCGCTTACAGGGAACGACCTATGTATTAAAAGATTCATTTCATGATTATTCGACAAGTTTTACACTGGCTGTCAATTACCTAAAGCAACCATTCACTTTTCTCATCCAGGGCTTGGGTCTTTTATGGGAACTAACAAGTTTAAAAGCCCAATGGAGAACACAAAAGAAAGTAGAACACAACTCGTTCCAAAACCTTAGTAAGCAAAGCACTAAATAACATTAAACAAACTGAAATTGTTTTA